ACTGTAGACCGCCAGAAAACTGCTATCATTTATTCTGCGAAAAGTTTTTGTGTTGTGAGGAGTCATGTTGACACCATACCTCAATAATTAATCCTTAATATGCGTCACCAAAATAACAACAACAACAATAATAATAATACTGTAATGTATCTTTGAAGATCTTTAAAAACTATCAAAATATAAGGGCCTTGAAATCAAAATTTTAAAAATGTGTCACATGAGGAATTCAGCAATTCTAGTTGTAGTTGGAGCCCTCGGATTGATTGAAAAAGATTTCAAGAGACTCAATGAAGGGATTCCTGGTAACCCATGCTTTAAAGAAATATAAAAATTGTACTCACAAGTACAGCTCACACCTTACGAAGGGCTTTGTCTATGTAAAATATGTGTAATCTTAGGTGTGTGTGTGCGTGTGTGGAAAATGTCATGTTGCCATTTCTAACCTTAGGTTTCTGGTTAGGACCCGGAAAGAAATGAGTATACACCAGAAATCAAATAAAATATTATTAATAATAATAATAATAATAATAGAGCGCTTAGAGAGAATTGAAATTGAGATGAAGATTATAGACCGCCAGAAAACTGCTATCATTTACTCCGAAAAGTTCTTGAATTGTGGGTGGTAAATCTTATTGACACCATGCATCAAGAACAGAACATTTGATCTAAGAGGAATTAATCTGTGGTGATACCAATAATTAATGAATTCACTCTAAGAGATACCAATTCTCGCTAAAATAGGTTCATAAGAGGGTTTACCTAAAAGGTATCCTCATAGCCAGCAAGTGCATAATAGGGCCTCACAATGTGCGTAGTGGGCGTACCAACAAAAATATAAAATAAACACGGCTAAACCTAAGACATACACACAAAAGTCAGCCGGATGCGAGTAAGTTGTACAAACGCCTGACTCATGAGAGAGAAGCTAGAATCCTTATCCTCGCGAGGAATAAGTTCCTGAAACCACATACCTGTCATTGCCGATGTTAATTTGGCCAAAGATTTAAATATTGAATATCAGTTATGAAAGTTTAAAGGAAAAAAGCAAATAGAAGAAATGAGAGGACAAGATAGAAGTCACAAATAAAAAGTAAAATAGCTCCATGGACATTTTAAAAGACAGTTATTTTAGGCGCGAAACACTTAGTATCATGTTCTTATCAGACTTTAATAACATAACATTACACTAGTAATTCGGGATAAAATAAATATCGGATATGGTAATTAAAATAGTCGTAGTCATACGTACGGATACAAAAATTAAAATAGTCATACGTACGGATACAAAACAAGGTTTGACATGAAGTGTGATATGAATTAAATTTATTCCTGATAATGAAAATTATGATACTCATAAGAAAATCCATTTTCTTTCATCATTTCACCAAAGCAAGGCAATAAAGCCACTAAGATGTAGGGGATTAATGGGTGTGACAGAATATGAGAACAAATATTAAGGGGTGAGACCAAGAAAAGAACATGAAATATGACGAGAGAAGATGATTGACATTATATTTAAATTTTTGAAGATCAATGTTGATTGGAAAGCGAGAATTGCGAGAAAAGAAACTGTTAGCATAGAACTTGCGGTTATATCAGGACATTTCAATTGCAAAATGATGAGACTTTGCCGTTAATCTAGTACTGCGCTTAAATTCATAAAGTCTAGGTACCATAAAGTCAATTACAATGTTATAACAACAACAAAAACAACAATAAACACAGACGAACGATGACGTCGATGTTGATGTCCATGTCTTAAAGAAATAGAAAAAAATGTTCTCACGAGTACAGCGCACCCCTTAAGAAGAAGAAGAAGAAGAAGAAGAAGAAGAAGAAGAAGAAGAATTGTTCTTAAGAGTACAAACCCCCACACCTTTCGAAGGGCTTTATCTATGTAAAATATATGGGTTTTTTTTTATAGGGGTTTTTATTCCTCAGTGGAAAATATCAGATGCTATTTCTGAACTAGGTCTCTGGTTGAGACCCGGAAAGGAATGAGTATACACCAGAAATCAAAGAAAAGAAAATAATAATTTTAATGAAAAAGCGGTTAGCGAGAATTGAAATTGAGACCATGATTGTAGAGAGCGAGAAAACTGCTATCATTTGCTTGGAAAAGTTCTTCAGTTAGGGGGAGTCTTGTTAACACCATACCCCAAGAACAAAATTTCCATTGATTACGTCAATGTTCGACGCCAAAATAATAATAATAATAATAATAGTAACAATCGAATGTAACATTTTACCACAGAAGTAGTGAAAAAAAACACCCCCATCAGCAGCTGAGGCATAACTCTTTGGTAGCAGATTCATGGTCTTTCGAAACCATCTGACGCTACACACACACTGTAAAAATATATCAGTTTGGGTAAGAATGGTGATTCGGCAATTGAGCAAATCATATGCACTTCACAGAAGCGACTGATAGATTATATGGTAAAAAGAAAACGAAAAAAAGAGGACATGTTAGCACTGAAGATTGCGTTAATTCAAATATTAATGGGATTCACGGAGACACAAATTAGATTAATGATAGCTAATGAAAGATGAATGATTATAGATTAAAATTAATGAAATATTAATTATGATAGCAAAAGTTTGCAGTAAAACTAACTAAAGCACCGATAAGAAAAAGAAAACGCCCAAAGGTGACATCAAAATTGAGAAGTAAAATAACACCGTAGGCATTTCAAGACACTGACAAAAGGAATTTCAGATGTGATGATATGCTTACGAAGACGTAATCTGTAAGCCACGACCCGGATTCTTAAGAACGACTTCGAACAGGTATCAACGATGTGTACAGTAGACAGACAAGGTGTCTGTACATTTCCTAACGCACACAGAATCTTTGGTTAGGACAGTTCATTTCACAGCACATCCTTTTGGAAAGGCATGAATCCACTTCTTCGTTATCCTACGGATGACTAGTAAGGCAACGGGAATAATTTCGCTTTGTAAAGCAGCTTATCTTGGGCGTCGATTTAGCAATCAGGCTCGAGAAAAATTTGCTTGGTAATTAAACTACGGTGTCGTTTGAGGTGGTTGATTTGCAAGAGGTCTGCAGAAATAAATAGACAGGAAAATACAAAGAACATATTAATTGCCAAATAGAGAGAAATAGAGATAATGTCAGTCATATAATGAGTAAGAAAATTAACATACTTAGGTGAAATAGTGATTTAATGGGAAGAGTGCTTATGATTGATATTTGAGAACTGAAATAATGTATACGTATCGTAATATTATTGGTTCTCACCTGGAATTTCGGTTTCAGTCACTTTCCCGCTAGCTTTCATTCAAGACATAACGTATCTTCAATATGCCTTTTCTGTGAATATTTTCATAGAAATTGTTCTCGTATTCTCCTATTTGAAACCTTGACTTTAAGCTCGGTATTATAAAAAATTTAATGCAAATTTAACTGGATTTTCATTTTTAATTGATTTGATTCTGTCTGCGTCGTTAGGAAATGTACAGATCAGTCTGTCTGTCTACTGTACACATTGTTGATACTTACAGATCTGTTCGTTCTTAAGAATTCGAGTCGTGGCTTACAGATTACGTCTTCGTAAGCATATCTATATCATCAAAATTCAAAGAAGGTATTTGTTATACCACCAGCATCGAGATGAACTCGCCCACACGTGTATAAATATGAGAATGGAATGTGAAACTGAGGGAAACATCAAAAGTCGTAATTAACGATCATCTGAGACAATACAAGAGTAATCCGCATAAGAAAGAAACAGTTGAAATTTCTAACTCACATAAAGAGGGCTTGGAAAGTTTAACACACACAGGACATATTGAATGCAACGCATAGTCTAGCAAGCGAGCTTGGGTAATTGGATGACGGAAATAGTGTTTAAGAGAGATAGCAAAGCTTATAAAGAGCTACAAATGACTGGAAATCGTGGAGAGACATTATCGTCAACGTTCTAAAGGGACACGGTAGATAGAAGAAAAAGACTAAATTGTCATGATGTTGCAGTTGAAATTGCTCTCACTTTCACTCCCTGTAGTCCCTTGTGTACTAGTGGCATTCCTGCCTTGCTTGGGGTGAAATGATTAAAAAAATGATTACAAAAAAGTTAAAAATGTAAAATAATCCACAAATTTAAACCAAACATTGATATCTGCTACTTATAAGCAGAGTGAAGAAAATGTAAGGTGAATATCGTTGTTATGGACTCACAGTAATATATATATATATATATATATATATATATATATATATATATATATATAAAAAAGACGGAAAACATGTACAATATATAAAAAAAATTGCCTATCAATAATTGAGAGATTGATAAAAAAATTCGATAATGGTATTTGTTATACCCCCAGCATCCAGGTGGAGCCGCCCACACGTGTATAAATGTGAAGAATGGAATGTGAACTGGGGGGGGACATCAAAGACCATATTTAGGGATCGCCTGAGACAAATACAATAGTAATCTACAGCTGGACTTACTCAGTAACTGAACTCATCTAAGTAATAGATACATTAAAACAGTATGATAAACTGTAAACTCATCCATACGACAGCATTTTAAAATTAGCAAAAATGTTGTAGAAATTATTGAGAAGACTTGCTGACATTTGATCGCTAATGATTCTCTGCCGTCACTATTATTTTGAAAATTCAATGAGTGAAAATAATAAATGAATCAGTGGAGACGGGTATCATACAGAAAATTTAAATTAAAAATGAAAATCCAGTAAAAATTTGCATTAAAGATTTTATATTCTAGTTTAGGTTTATTTAGTTTTATCTTAATTTTAGTGCTTTTCGTCATCCATATATCACTCATTATTTTAATTTTGACGACTCATCACTTACCTTTTGAGTTGATTTAAATTGCTTTTTTTCTCCTTCATCAAACTTTTTTTTTTTTAACTCGGTCATTTTCTCATTGTTCCTGTCTTTTTTTTCTACCTTATTTCTTCAATTTCATCCGATCAAGAGTTCTCTCTTCTTGGGTTTATAGAATCTATAATATGCGAAATTGGACAGAAAATAGGAGAAAGAGATATTCTTTAAGCAAACGATATACAGATAGAGTTTGATAATATGGATGAATTATACGGATAGATAGGCAAAAACACGGTTCAAAAATGAACGCGGGAAGTATTTTAAAAGAAAGCAAGTGCGAAAGAAAGAAAGAAAGAAAAAGAAAAAGAAAGAAGAAAATAAAGAAAAGAAAGACAGAAGACTATAGCAAGGTTAACATGAATTACCAAAGACTTTTGGACAGAATGATTATTATAATGAAAAGAAAGAAAAAGAAAGAAAGAAAGAAAGAAAGAAAGAAAGAAAGAAAGACATTTAAGTAAGACAGAAGACTATAGCACTTGAAGGTTAGCATGAATTACCAAAAACTTTTGGACAGAATGATTATTATAATGAAAAAGAAAGAAAGAAAGAAAGAAAGAAAGAAAGAAAGAAAGAAAGAAAGAAAGAAGACTATAGCACTTGAAGGTTAGCATGAATTACCAAAGACTTTTGGACAGAATGATTATTATAATGAAAAGAAAGAAAGAAAGAAAGAAAGAAAGAAAGAAAGAAAGAAAGAAGACTATAGCACTTGAAGGTTAGCATGAATTACCAAAGACTTTTGGACAGAATGATTATTATAATGAAAAGAAAAAGAAAGAAAGAAAAAAGAAAGAAAGAAAGAAAGAAAGAAGACTATAGCAAAGGTTAAAGAATTACCAAAGAACAGAATGAATAATGAAAGAAAAAAAAAGAAAAGAAAGAAAGAAAGAAAGAAAGAAGACTATAGCACTTGAAGGTTAGCATGAATTACCAAAGACTTTTGGACAGAATGATTATTATAATGAAAAGAAAGAAAGAAATGCAAAAGACAGTAACATATGAAGGTTAGCATGAATTAAGAAATACTTTTGTGTTGAATACTTATTATAATGAAAAGAAAGAAAATATTTAATGAAAGAGACAGAACAAGTATTAGATAAATTGAAAGGTGACGAAAGAAAAATAATTATTACATCGAGAGAACTCAGAAGAAAAACTAATAAGGATAACCATTTCAGAAATCAAGGGAAAAGAATAAGGAACGAACAGTGAGAATGAAAGAAATAAAGAAAAGAGACAAAAGAAAGACTGGAATTTATAATAAGATAGAAAAGAGCGGGCAAAAAAACAGTGTCGTATATGTCAATCACTAAGAGATGCGGTTAACTTTTTACAACAAAGAAAAAAGACCCGATACAATGGTATAATAAATAAATAAATAAATAAATAAGAAAAAAAAGTAGGGGAAGGAGAAAGGACTCAAGAAAACCAATAAGATAGCCAAAAAGAAATGAAACAAAAAAAATAAAATGATATAATATTTGAATCAACTGTCTGTTTTTTAGCCAATGCCTCTCCTTGTTCTTCATTCCTTTTCCCTTTTAGCTTTCCCATCCGTTTTATCCATCCTTTTCCCTATCAAGCCATCAAAACAGTCGATGCAATAGTCTTTTTATTTCTTCATTTCTTTTATCGATATTTCCCTACCATTCAGGTGGTCTAGTCGACTTCGCGGATGGACGATTCGATCATTAGGAAGATGGCCGCTGCTTTAAAAGATCAATGGGTGTGTCACCACAGTGGCCAATCGGTGAGTGATTGATGGCCTGACTCGTTCATTCTTCCTTTCATTTATTCTTTCTATCCGTGAACAAATTAGTAAGCTGAGCAAAAGATGAAAGCACCTGCTGGGCCTTCCCTCTTCTCATCTTGTCTTTTCTTTCTTTTCAAAGCGTTTATTTCTTTACTTTTTTATTTGGTTCGTTTGTTCGGTGTTTTTTTTTTTATCTCTTTTTCTCATCATTATTCTCCTTTCTAGTTCATCAATTTTTTTCTATTCAAAACATTTTTTCTTTTCTTTTCAGCTTTCTTTGTTGGTGTCCCTTTCTTCTGATAATTTATTCTTTCCTTCGACTAATATATTCGATTAATATTAGACCATCGCATGCCTAGAAAGGATTTTCAAGAATATAAGTGAGACCCCACTAAAACGCAACGTAAAGGACATGCTTCTATTCTGTAGATTGGTTTCAAGTTGTAATATGAGTACGTTTATTATGATATAATTACACAAGACTGATCGCATTGGGCATGAAAGATAAAAATAACGTATTTGCTTGTTTTCTTTTGGTATCTATTATAAAATTGTTTGATCTCATTTAGAATAGGCTCGAAAATATTTATCTGAAATGTAGATATCTATACAAAGCTAAAATTCAGCAATTATATTATCAAATTAGGTCTCTATATATACAAATGCATTGTTTATATCATTGTTTCTCAACCTTTTATTTTACTTCGGAGAATTAGCAACTTTAATACAACTTACTCAAAGCTTTGATATTATGAATTCAAAAATACCTTGTAACCCAACCTTAGTTAAATCGGCTCTACTTTGTATCAGTTTCCTTAATTTACACTCATACTTATGTTTTGTAATAAGTAAATAATACAACCATCAGAATAGTTTGAAATATGATAACCAACTGGGAATTATTTTATCTTTATGAATCACCTAAGATTATGTCTTCTCCGTTTTGAATCCCCACCGAATGTTGTCGATCAACAATTTCCTCTCCCTTGTAGCTCTTAGTAAATTTTATCTTTTTGTTACCTTTCCTAAACCCTATTCTGTCAAGTATTTACACAAGCTCGTTTCCTTTGTTCCCCTTGCCTTCAATATTTCCTGTGAGTATCAAATTTTTCAAGCCCCATTTCCTCATTATGTGATCTATAAATATCTCTTTCCAATGTTGAATATAAGTGTCTTTTTTGTTTTCATTTTCTCCAAAACGTCGTCGTTTCTTACATGTTCAGTCCATGGCATTCTCAGCATCCTTCTATAGAACCACATTTCTGTTGTTTGTAGTTTCCTCTTCATCTATGTGGCGATTGTCCTGCATTTACTGCCATATAGGATATAATAGATAAGTACTAATTTCTTTGTTTCTAATGAGATATTCCTGTTTCTTTGTACTTTGCTTAGCTTTTGAAAGCTTCTTTACCTATCTCAGTGTAACTTAATATTTTGTTGTCGTTTTTTCTGTCCTCTGCTATAATTCTTCCCAGATATGTAAATATTTATAATTCCTTAATTTTGATATCTCGAATTTGATGGTTTCGTTTGCTGATAACCATACAGTAGTTAATAATTTCTTCTCACTTCCCTTATGATCTTTTTTTTTAAGAGTTTCACCTCAAGCAAGGCGGGGAGCCACTAACACGCAAGAGGTTACAGAGAGTGAGAGCAAAGAGAAGTGAGGGGGAAAGGATGAAGAGAAGGATATGGAATAGATCAAGGCATCTGGAGACGTCGATTGACATTACATTTGAATAGTTGGAGATTATAGCTATCAGGAAAACAGGAAAATAGGTGTGAGTTCCATAGGCGAGAAGTACGAGACATGAAGCTATTGGAGTAGAAGAGACGGCTACATTTAACAGTTTCGACGGTGTAAGCGAGATGCCAGCCGAGTTGAACGCTTAAATTCATGAAGTCTGGGAACCAGCGAAAGCAGCACATTGGAGCAGTTAGCATGAAAGTATTTGTAAAAAAGACAGAGGGAGGCGACGATACGTCTGTGAGAGAGCGACTGCCGACGAGATGCCAGATCGGGGCCAATTACCGTAGGAGTTCTTGTAGACTTAATTTCTTATAAAAGAAAATGTTATCAGTCCATCCATTCCATTGCGCAATACGCGTGACTTAAGCGATTCAATCAATTGTCTTTTTCTTTTCTTTTTTTCTCCGATACGTCCAGGCTTCAAAGAGACGGGTGATTTTATCAAGTGGCCGTTCTTATTAAGATTCTGCAGCAAACTAACACCCACACCGATTCTGAATTTAGAGTTTTCCTTCTCCGAGAGTGATTGCCAACCATACCTCCTTCTTTTATGTCCCCTGTCCGTTCGGACGTAGATGATCATAGCTCTCCACATCTTCCTGTCCCTTGTAGTTCTTAACAAGTTTTTCTATGCTCTGCCATCCATTTGCTCAAGCTCATCAAGTATGTCCCGCTCTACTGTCCTCTGTCCCTCTTTCTCTCAATCGGTCCCGTGAGTATCAGATTTTCCAAGCCCTCCGTCCTCATTGCGTGCCCCAGAAATTTCAACTACTCTTTAACTGATATAAGTTTCTTTAACTGGTATAAGTTTCTTGTTTTTTCATTCTCTCCAAAACTTCGTTGTTGTTTACATGTTCGCTCCATGGCATTCTCAGCATCTTTCTGTAGAACAGCATTTCTGTTGCTTCAAGTCTCTTCTTCATCTTTGAGGAGATTATCCAGCATTAGCTGCCATACAGGACAGATATCACGAACAATTCAGTATTATTTTCTTTGTTTCCAACAAATTTTTACTGTCTCTTAATGATCTGCTTAGCGTTTGGAAGGCATCTTTGACCATCTCAATACGTCTTTGGATTTCCGTACTCTGTTAGAACACTTCCCAGATATTTAAATTTCTGTATCTGTTTGAATTTAGTACGCTCGATTTGTAATTTGCATTTTGTGGTCACCCTTTTGCTGGTAACCAGGATTTTGTCTTATAGTTTTTCTTAGTCCTTTCCTCTCATTTTCGCTACTTTCTAGGGAAGGTTTTGTAGTTTCCTTTCCTTGTTTGCTATCACTACCGTGTCATCTGCATATCTTATATTGTCAAGATTGTGGCCGCTAATAATGAATCTTGACGCGACTTCTAATTCTCTTAGAATTACCTTGCTGTATAAATTCGGTGAGAAGACACGTCCTTTCTATTTTTGTATATCTGCTGAACTCATTCTCTGTCCGTATGCAAGCGTTTTGCTACCAGAATAGGTTCTTGATTATTCTAATCTAGGTACCTTCACTAATTCGATACATGTAAGGTTTCAAATGCTAAAGGATTTCAAATTTACTATTTCCATTAAGCAAAATACTTTGTGTTCTATTTTAAACAGAAATTATATTGATCGGAATCGACTTCTTTTTTAGTAAAATGCATCAAAACGGCTATTTTTGACAAATTTGTAAATAAAAAGTTAATTCTCGGTTTAAAAAATCTTGCAAAAATAAAGTATAAACTTCTGTTTAAAGTTAAAATAATCTGATTTGAAACATATATTACTTACTTATAGCATAAAATGTTGTATACAAACATTTCTTAACTACGGGGTCTTGTTTTTTAGCGGATTGAAAGCCAAACTTGTTCATAGTTAAGTCTGATGGAACAGAGGATAAACTTTATACGGCGGAATGAGAACCCTTAAGACACATGAGTTTTTAATGTTAGATTTATCGCTTTTTACATCCATACTTCAGAAATGCTCTACTTAATCACACATACAAAAACAAATCGAAATTCTTTTAAAAATATTTAGAGTCATCAGATTACAAGAAGCTTTACAATAAATTATTAATAAATATAGTTTTACTTAATAACAATATCTTCTAAGAATTATCACATTGAAAATAATTTTTAAAAGATTTACAAACCTTATAAATTATTCAATTTAAAATTTGAAAAATTTGAAAAGAAATCGTCTAATTTTTTTTCATCAGACAATATTTGTCTTTAACATATATTTTTCACAAAACAAATAAAAGCTTATCTAATTAAATAATGTCCTAGTTTTATTGCGTTTTTTTATTTTTAGATTCAGAAAAGATTTTCGTTAAGTCGGGGTCTGATCTTGCAGAAAAAAATCGGTAATTGAAATACTTCAAAGAATTCTGCTTTTAACTAAAATAGTCACTAAAAGTTATAACTTTTAATTTCTCACGCTTTCATAAAATCAAGTAAGGTGACTTAACATGTAAAGCTGAAACACACGTAAAAAATATTTTTACAAGGATTTTCTAGTGAAAAAATTAGAAA